AATTCTATGATCCGCTAGAAATTTTTTTACCTAGATGACAGTGGCAATATTTTGTTGATAACGCTGCAAAAATTTATTAAACTCACGGTAAGCTAAAATTTCATGAAAATACCAGAGGGATTTTGCAGAAACGAATCGTTCTTTGTCAATGCAGGGCCACAAGCGACAAAAATTGTTGCACTCGAACATGACTCACCATATTCCCAAAACGAATGTTTAATTAACTTTTGAGCCAATAAAACAATAACAAATTTATTCACAGGAATATAAAAAAGTTGTTTAACAGTGGCCTAATAAAATTGCCTTAAAATATACAAGAATATTATCGGCAAAAAATGCTGTACTTGAGTGAGGCCATATTTTTCGGGCATAGCACCACCTTCTTACTAAAGAAAAACTTTTGTATACTTAATAACTCAAAATTTATTAAGCCCTAAGGCCAGCTGAAGGATAAGAAGAGTTTATTCCAGTGTGACTTTTTTCTGTCGGCTGTATGTATTTGTATGTGCAAACTTTCTTTTATTTTGCCTGTGAAGTGATGAGCTTCTTGATAGTCTCTGATCGAAATCGATAATCTCTGATCGTCCTGTTTTCGCTGTTGGTTCAAAGTGGGAGTAAGTTATTCATCAGGCAAGGGATGATCGTAAAAGATCAAATTAAAGATTTGTGTTTATACTAACATTATGGGATTTGTAAAGCATGTAATGTTTTTTTGGGATATTCTTACATCAACATATCCATATTTATTCGCATTACTGAAAGACTCTGTCTCTAGAGAATTAAAAACCTGATAGAAACTGAAGGGAACATAAAAGAGGGGCGAAAAAAAGGTCAGTCCTTTAACCGAAGGATCTTTTCAAAACTTCGCCCATTAAAATTCCAGTACAATGCGATATACGTTTGTATGCTGGACAAAGGACCTCTCCGAAACCTTACCGGTTGATAAAACTCCTTTCCCCTTGATTCACCATGTATATTTGTTTTGTCTAATGACCTCATTTGAAAAGTAAAATCATCAAATTAATACTCAATTTTGACGGCTAACAATTAGAACAATGTATAGATACGGGTCCGCTGGGTTGATAAGTAACAGCGAAATTTTTTTCAGCAATAAAAACCAACTGAAAATTGTTACGGTAGATAGAAATAATTGATACGGTAGCTGTTATAAATAATTCCCACATTGTCAAGTGTTTAATATTGTCCCTGAACCTGCTCAATCGACCTTTCCTGCAAGGTGAACAATCAAGCTTATTTACTGTTCTTCCTAGCTCGATAACTAGACATTTTGACAAGATAACGACTGAATAGTGAAAAATAGACAATTATCACAATTTGAGCCCGTTATATTTGGCAGTATTTAAACACTGACCTTATTCTATACGGATATTTTTCTACTTTTTTTTTAAATGCAGAATAATGATAATATTTTTGTGTCGGCAAACTTTAAAATTGCTTATTTTTATTTTTAACTGTAAGCAAAAGGAACAATTACAATCGTAATTATATCGCAGGGAGGAATAAACTCTAATAAAAAATAATAAAAATGATAGCCTAATCAAAAAACCGCCCGTGTACGAAAGTGAAGCGAAGGTTTTAGACTATTTATAATTTTGTCATAATGACTTTTCCACTGTGATTCTGACGAAAGCTTTTAAACTATAATTTTATAGCTATCTTCTACTTGTCTTCATAAACTTATAAGGACTATCAAATTTTGACAAACGTTTAAAAAGCAACAATGCTAAACAGTTTAATAATATTAAATGTCGAAAGTTACACAACTGTGAACAATTGAAAATTATGAAAAATGGTTTTTAAAAAAATTCTTTACATTTATGAAATTATAGCGAGAATGAACTGACCTAGAGAGATCAAAAACTGAAACTAAACATCTGAAATGCTGTTTAAATACCAGCAAAGAAAATTGCGTTTTTTATAATTTAAACATTAAAACCCCAAAAAGCATCACAAACTAAAAATAAAATCTATATAATAAAGTTTCTAATAAAAAATGACCAAACCTGTACTTTAGACTTACGATTACAGGAGAGAACAGGCTTACCAGGAGACTCAAATGATTACAAATACTGAAAATTGAAATATCCGTCGCCAATCGACCAATTATGTTTTACAAGTGAATAGTTAAAAATTCACATCTATTTACAAAATAGTTAAAGTTAGAGCGAAACTAGTCGGATCAAGGACAATCAAAGTGCAGAAAAATGTTTAAAAATTGATAAATGGTCAGCCGGATTTCACAATTGAAAACTTAGACGTTTAATCTGCAATATATTTGTGGATTATTTAAAAACGGATAAGCGACTATTTAAGTGCGGACAAATTAACTCTTACTTTTCAAAACGTATTAACGCGATACATTTATATTGTTAATAAAGTCAACATCGCTTAAAATTTATCCTATTTGAATACGATCAGATAAATATAAAAACAAATGTTTAGGTTTTACTACGGTTGATATCAAATCGCAAAAGTGGCAAGCGGTGACGCCTGTGCGTTTGTAAAACTTTGACATGAGGGAAAGTTCCAAATGTGATAAACAACTCCGCTTAAAAAAAGCTAGGCTGTCCTCTTTGTCAGTCGGTGGCATAACATCATTTGTATTGTAAAAATTAATTAAATCAATTTTATAACTATTTTATAACTATAATAAATTTTATATTTTATAATAGCATGAAAGGTTAGATATTAAGGTTTGACCTATTTCGTATATGTATTTGTAGATTTTGGAGAGAGATACAAATAGCTTAAAAAATCGTTGTAATCTTGTAAAGATAGATTAAAATGATAGTAAGGGATTTAAATCGATTCATTTTTTTAAAGACTAATTGTTTACAAGAGAGTTTTAAGATAAGATAATATTATTTACGGACGACAGTCGTGATTACGAATTATTCTGGTCATCATTTTTGTAGAAAAAAATTGAAAAAACGGGGAAACTGTTTTCTTATAACTCAATACTTTTCCAATAATTATGGTGAAAGTCTCAATTTTTCTCACAGTGTGATAAAACGAGAAAATTGATCTAAATCGGTTCTACATACGTCAGATCCTTAGAAAAAGCAATAAAAAATACTGAAGATCGAACAATGGTACATTTAATATTGAAAGGAACATCATGAAACGTGAGAACATTTATACAAAGAACTTGATAAAAAGTAAAACGTAAATTCTATCTGTTTGTAAGCTATGTACATTTATATTAAATATTTATAAATACAAAAAAGATTGTATAATAATGCAGCAAGATTATTATCATAATAAATTGATGATTATCTTAATAGTCTTATAGTAACTATAAAACTATTTGTTTTATAGTTAAATAAATATAAATTAACCACTTGAATTCTTTATTTATTGGGTTGTCCGGAAAATAATGCAGGATTTTGGTATTAANAGAGGATTAATAAGTGTTGACATTCATACAAATGAGTAATCCTGTAAACGTAAACAGAATATTTTATATAGATTTTTTTTAATGAAAACTTAAAATCCTTCATTATTTTCCGGACAACCCGATACTTATTTAACTAACTTATTTTTATAAACATTACAAAAGCATGTCCAATATTTCACTCAATTTACTTATTTATTAATGATAATTCAGAACGTAGTAGTAAATATGCTTTTTAAAAGCCTTTTGTAAATCAAATATCTGTTAAGGTGAGAGATTGAACAAATAACCAAAACAATACATGAAATACGACGCCAAAAAACCTTTTGTCTCGTTTCTCAACTAAAACTTGAAATGATTAAACTTTTTTGGGACAGAGAACAACAAAGAGAGGTTGACAAAGAGAAAGAGGAGGAGAGAGAGAAGAGAAGAGAAAAGGAGGGAGGGAGTGAGAAAGAGAGAGAATAATAGAGAGGGAAAAAACTCAGATGGAGAGAAAGAGAAAAGTGACAGAGAAAGGGAAGTGAAAGAAAGTGAGAGAGAGATGAGGAGAGAGAGAGAAGAGGAGGGAGGGAGGGAGAGAGAGAGAGAGAGAGAGAGAGAGAGAGCGCCAGACAGACAGACAGACAGAAATTGTGTCTGTCTATCAATGTCTGTTCTCGGTCTGTACATACAAATCACTGTGTGAATTGTGGTGTGTGTATGTTTAGTGACAACAAAAGAGTAAATCAGTTTTCCGATAAATGTTTTTGAAAATCAGTAAGGTATATTTTAAAAACTATAATTTTTGTTTTTAAACTATTTTACAGAAAATATGATGACCGAATGTCAAACAAATCATGCTAATATTAGGCCAATTTTGCAATTGCTGATGTCCCACATTGAATAACAGGTCGATTTGGCAATTTTATAATAGAAATGCGTGAAAAACTAACACTCATACGCACTTTTTTCCGCCAAATTCGCGTTTTGACGATTCCTCAATATTTATATTATAAAAAATTCAATTACGACGATCATATTTATGCGCGAGAACATATTTCACATGTACATTCGTTACTACGTTTTACTCGCAATAAAATCCTGTCGTGTATTAATAGATTCGTTACATTCTTTCTTTTCATATAACATGATGTCGACTGGCCCAATTAATGTATAGTAATAGTTTAGTTTATGCAATATAATTATAAACAAGATAATTATTTGTTTAATCGAAATTTTGTACGATACATCGAAAGATTGCAGGCAAGATTAATATTACAGTACAAAAACATGTTCTAGATTGATCCTTTTCATGAACAGATACATAATATTCAGAAATCAGCAAAATTGTAAATTGCAAGATTATACGGGAACTGAAATCAATTAATTGATTTTGAAATTTATATTTACACAAACTTGTTCATTCCTATCGTATGGGAATGTAAGCGGTCATAATAGATTCGATTAGAACCAATCTATAGTCTGTCAATTGTGTCGAATAGACTCTTATTTTATTTATGAAATTTGAGAACACTATGTTACTAGGGCTATAGTCAAAAACGAAAAAATAGATGAAAAAATGAATAAATAAAATTTCTCTTACTTGTTGAATGTGGTTTCGTATTCTTTGATCTGCTTCCTCGTAAATTCGTGGAATTCCGCATAGATAGACCTGTGGGCCCTGAACTGGTGTTCGACGGCGATCCCTTGGTCGAGGGCCTCGTTGATCTGGGCCCTTCGTTCCAAAAGTGTGCTCAGTTCCTCGCCTGCTGGCATTGTCGTCTTTTATTCGGATGGTCGAACGTCGGGAGAGAGTTTCGCTGGTACTCGGAAGGTGTTCCGGACTGGACTGGCTGTCTGCACTCTTGCCTCTAAACTTCTCTTCCCCGGAGCCCCACCACTTTTGCTTCCGACGCCGCCCCGCATGAGCATAAACGCTAAAGGATTACACCCCTCTACGATAAACCGCACCCTCATCCGTGTTACAATATTAATACTCTTTAGTGCCTTTTTTATTATAAAAAATGAAACGTATGTAAATACAACTTATGTACAAAGCGACGTTAATGGACACTTCTCACGAAACCCGGTATTCATAACGTTTTTCGACTGCACTATTTACAAGAATTTTGAACACTACAACAATTTACTAAACATACATGTTAAAAAATCAGCTGTGATAATGGTCAAACGGAGAAGCTACGTTAAATTCTGATGTTGTCCTGTGTTTGTTGCTGCTTTTTATTATTAGTACTTCTATAATTAACTATAATAACCTAATAATCTATTTCAAGTAAATTTAAACATTTCATATGGCTTCTTTCAATTTATTATTCTTTTTATGTAAGGTCTTGGTGGAAATGAAAAAGTTAGTGTAAGCGAGATTCGAGCCCATGACCTTCGACTGAATACACCGCTGCTCTAACCACTTGAGCTATCGTGATCCACTCAGACATCAACTCCCCATCTCAACCAACAACCTTTCGCATTTTACCTCTTTTTGCCATTTTTCATAATAGCTCAAGTAAGTGGTTAGAGCAGCGGCATATTGAGCCTAAGGTCGTAGGTTCGAATCCCGCTTACACTAACTTTTTCATCTCAACGAAGACCTTACATAAAAAGAATAATTACTTTCCTTCCTTTTTGCCATTTTCAAATGTCGTGTAATGAAGATTCGATTCTCGGCAACTTCTGAAGTGGCCACGGGGAGCTGTTAGGGAAGTTATACTTCGTTCGATTTATTAAATCAATTATGTTTAGTGGTCTGATCGTCCAAATTACTTCTTTCAATTAATTATTCTTTTTCTGTAAGGTCTTATGAAAAAGCTAGTGTCGCAGGCGGGATTCGAACCCACCATCCCGCTCGAGACACTAGCTTTTTCATTTCAACCAATACCATATATAAAAAGAATAATTAATTGAAAGAAGTAATTTGGTCAATCAAACCACTAACATAATGGTTTAAGTAATTATATTACTTAAAACATTCAGTATGCCCCCTTTACCTGAGTCTCGTGCCGTAGTGTACCAATAAGGAACAAAACGCAAAACGTCTTAAAAACTAATTAAACTTTAAAAGTTGATTACATAGGCAAATCCTATGTTGCTGTGTAAATGTGTTCTTCTTTTTTTTATCATTGTGCAACTGTAACACACAGCCCGATGCCCGTGCATAGTTCAAACTTTTGCCAATATGGATTTGGATGCGACACTATTGGAGAATGAATAAGAGCTTCGTGCTATTTGTTGAAAGTATATTCTAAGTGAAGAGAAAAGTGAAAAAAAAGCTAAGAAAGCAGAAGCCTTTGTTAGAACATAAAAATGTTTTCACTTACTGCTGAGCCTAGTGTACTTGTGCAAAACAAAATGTCATACATCTTAAAAAAACCATTTACATATTAAAAACTAATTGTGGTGCACATCAATTGATAGATGAACTGCCCGATGTACATGAGGTGGGCGAAAATTTCAACCAGAAAGATGTGGGGTCTGAAAGTGTATTCATTCATATGAGTACTAGCTTTGAGCTTTTTACCTAATGTGCAATGTAAAAATAAAAATGAAAACCGCTATAAAAAATGACATAGGTTTGGTGGAACATTTTTTTTTAAATTGAGGACTATTTTTGGGCTCGTTCCTAAAAATGTACTGTAGGAGAAAAATGGAAATTTCTAAAAAAATTGCTTTTGCGTTTGGCTGAAGCTGTTTTGCCGCTATTCTAGAGCTCATTCCTGATAAAAATGCTATTAGGATGTTAGACCCACACTAAGTTTTGTGTCAGTTTACTAGTGTAGAATAAAATGCACATTTACTACTACTACTTTAACTGCCAACTGCTGTAACTGCCACATAACTTTTTCGAGAGAATTTCAACTGCGAGGTTATATGAACCCAAGGGTGTTTAAATAAAACATATGTAGGTATGTTGGGTTCGATTACAGGGCCGCTGGATCCGAACCCAGGACTTTTACCTTGCAGTCATGAGCGCCGTTTTAGAAATTCATTGGTAGAAGCTCGATTTCCGTGAGGGTGACGACACCTGACCAGAAAGGATTTGGGTGCGAAAGCGCCGACCATATTTCCCAGGTTCGTCCAGTTTGCTGAAAGACCAAAGAGGGGGAAAACGAATTAAGGAAAATTATTGCTGAAGAAGCATGTTTTTGCACATGTTGCTGTTGTTCTTGCACTCTTTCCTACTGGAAATGTGCTATATCAGACACCAACTAAGTTTAATTTTATAAAACAACTATTCTAGATTTCTCAAACTTGGTGGTGTAATTTTCTAAATAGTGTACTGGCACGATGCGTATACTAGTAGTACCCATCCATCGCCATCTTGCAAATACAAAAAAAAATGGTTCTATGGTTCTTGCAGTGTTATAAATTCACACTGATCGAACTTGACAAAGAAGAAGGCAGCGTCTTGCCTCGCCCTGCTTATTCTTTGATTAATTATATTCTGTGATAGGGATTTTTTCTTACTACACAACAGAATCCGATTACAGAATAGGATGAACGAAAATATTCAGATTTAGTATTCATCAAACAGAAGGAAATACATGCGTATTTTATGTTACAACATATTGATATTGAAGGCAAGCTTAAATAAATCATTTAATTTCATAAAATACAGTAACAACTGTCATCTGTCGTTCATTCTAGACACTATTATTTAAATATAGATATATTTCTTTTATTAAATCAATCATTAATATTTACCATACTTTTCTGTTTATTCTTTAGCACATCTTTATCGGATTTACTGAACTATTGGTAAGTTTGATTTTTTAATTAATATATACTTAAACACAGACACGTGCGGAAATTCTGCGCAATTCATTCATCACGATCAAAAACCAATAAGAAGCACTTGAACTCGCCTTTCGACTTATTAATAGCTTTTCATTTAATAATAGTAAGACTTTATGAAAAGTGAATGCAAACAAGAAAAAAATTGTTTTTATTAATATGGTTATGACGCCCATGTCTTTATTACAGTACTTTAACTAGTATTAAGTAGTTCAGAATGTTATTTTTATGAGCTGATAAGTACGAAACAATTTAATCTTTAGAGAAATGTATAATTTTTCGCGACAAAATAAAGGTAATTGCTTTTTACGCTAATTCATTTACATTTTTTTTGGCTCGTTTTAAAATTTTGAAAACCTTACTAAAAATTAGTATTATAAATTTAATTTTCGCACTGAAGGCTCAGGTGTTCCATCTTTAATCTTTTATTATAAGCCTAACTTTATAATACATGCGTGAAATTTGGTAATATATTATGAATAAATTTTAAAGAATAACCACTTTGTTCATTGTGTGTCGTCTTTCAAGCCCAACAGAAACTCCTTGAAAGCAGAAATAGACTTAACACAACAATAGCATGGACCAGCGTGAATTTTCACGATTTCACGAGCTTGATCATGTACAAAGATTAGGTTTTTTTTTTTTAAATTTAATGGTCTTTTATCTATTGTCGTTCCCTCCAACGCGTGAAATTTCCCGTATTGTAGATACGAAAAGCCTGAACCAGCCTTCGATTAAGCCCTGTTGCAGATCTCCGCTGGACACCGCTGGAAATCCGGATTTCCTGAGACGCCATAGAAAAAACGTCAAAACAAAACATACAAACGTTGTTTTAATGAATAGGAAATGGTCCTTGGAAGTACAATCTATCACTAGTATCTTTAAAAAAAAGTTTTGTCTAAAATGCACTACAATTTTCAACTTTGTCCTTTTAATTAATTAATCTTTATGTAAGTTATCGGTTGAAATACAAAAGTCAGTGTCACGAGCGGGATTCGAACCCACGACCTTCGGCTAAATAGAAGCGAAAAAAGTGCTGCTCTACCACTTGAGCTATCATGACATCAATCCAATCGGATACCAACTTCCAGGATTCGATTCTCGGCAACAAATGAAATGGCCACGGAGAGCTTAAGTGAAGATATACTTCGTTTTACTTATTAAATCCTTTATATTTCGTGGTCCGATTGAACAAATAACTTCTATCAATTAATTAATTGTATTGGGTGAAATAAACAAGTCAGTGTCACGAACGGGATTCGAACCCGCAAATTAATTAAGGTTTAATACGATTTCGATTAATAGCAACCATTTACGATAGGTAAAAAGATCGTTAACATTTTTAATTTCTTTCACTGGCTGAAATCTTTGATGGGAGAGTGTTCGTTTAGAAATTTGAAGATAGTCGCAGTTTAACAGAAAAAAAGAAGAATAGAAAGTCGCAATGACTACGGCCCACTTCGAGCAATGTCCGGACTTCGCTCCTTTAAGTCCATGGAATGACTCTATTCATGATAGAATGATATATAAAATTTGGTTTTTAAAGATTTCTTTTTTTTACAAAGAAGAAAAATAAGAATAGAAAATTTTTTTAAACTTGACCAAATTAAAAATTTAATAACATGTTTTATATTTTTGGGACCGTCAATTAGCGGTGCGATTAGTAATCAACAATCACAAAAACTCGAGTGTAACTATCAACAGTTAATTACGCAATAATTGGGCAAGACTAGGGCCAAGGATCACGATAACAAATTATATTTTTATTGTATATGATAATAAATTTTATATATAAAGAAATTATTAGTAACTGGACTTTTACCCCGAAGGGTTGTACTCGGCGATGTGCTCACCCGAGGGTCTGTACATCAAGGAGTTCACCCACCCTGTTACTGGTGGGTGCTGGGTCATCGTAACCCCCTTAAGTCAGATGCCCAGGATATCGTCGCTCCCCAAGCTTCGAGGTAAGTCTCAGACGGGGGCTGGTGACGCAGGTCATTTCAGCGCCAAACGCATGCAAACTATCATCTAGCCTAAAGGCGGCTGCAGACGTGCAGTATTCGCCGAATGTCGATTGC